CCCACAATAAGCGTTGATGCGGGTATTACATAACACCTTGTATATTTTATTACAACGTTTATATCTTTTCACTTTTTGTACTATTGACTACGTAATTCTTTGTATTATCCAGCTTGCGTATTCTTCCATGCGTTAATTTGTAGGGGAAAGTGGGGTAAAGTGGGAATAGTTTTTACTGTGAAGCAATAGAGCCATAAAAATTAATTTTTATGCAACAGTGAGTGTACCATCGCCAAAAAGTAGACTTTAGCTGAGTTTCGCCCATCTGTAATAGATAAAAATATTCTTCTGTCGTAGATGTCTTCCAATGTGAACAAAAGTCCAAAAATAGCCATTTTTGTAAAATATGGGGTAAAGTGGGAAATGTGCTATTATTGATTAGAAATGAAGCAAACTGCAATTTTATTCATGGTAAATCTTTATTTAGAACTTGGAATTCACAAAAATGTTAATCGAAATAAAAAATTTGAAGAAATTAAGAATAATTATAAATATTGCCTTCTTCTCGATCTTGACGTCTTTAAATGCTTGTACCAAAGCTGAAACATCTACACCTGGATCTTGACGTTTTTTAAACGTATTTACGAGGCATGATGACTGAAAGCAATGAAATATTTCATAAAAACACATAATTTCTATTAAAAACATTGTTCCATTGACAATTTAGTGATTTCCCACTTTACCCCATCCACGTCGTTTTAAAGATTTTGGCATGGCGTCGACACAAGGTTAGAATTGTCCAAACAACGTATTACATTTCGAAAGATAACAATCAGAAGATAACTTACCAATTTTCGTTTTAAACGGAACGTTGAATATACCCTCGAAACACACTTGCACGAAAATAAGGAAAACAACTTTGCAAACTATTTTTCTCACTAATTCACGGAGGAATGAAAAACTGCGTGCACACACGTCAGTAACTTATGAAAAATGACGTAGTAGTAGCAAGGAACATTTGACAGCAGTTGGTATAGTTCAATACCCATCCCAGACAGCACACCATGTCTAAAAGACAGCTTTAAGACGTCTTTAAGTCTAAAAGACGTCTTAAAGACGTCTTTATGATGTCTTTTAGATATGTGTGCTGTCTGGGATAAATGCATCGAAAAATGGTATTTCCCACTTTACCCCACTTCCCACTTTACCCCACTTTCCCCTACTTCTTTCTTTATACTGAAGATGGTCCAATAAGAACCGAAACGTATATTCAGTTCCAATTAAAGAATTTTTATAGGACACTACAACCTTGTCTAAGCTCTGAGCCCCTTTTCATAATTACGTGATTTTTATCATACGAGCCATTCTTATTTATAAATTCTTTTACATTTTGTAAAAAAGACTGTTAGAATTAGTATATAGGGATTGTTAGAATCAGGAGAATTAGAATATTACAAATAATTCATTTTAAGGTCATAATGAAAATGGATTAGTGTCGTGCAAAGCATTCGACATGCAATGCCACTTAAAAACACGCAAAATGCATTAAAAGCGAGTAGTTTCAAGTGTTGCAAAGTAGCTAGCCACTGTAGCTAATCGCGAAGTAAGTCATCGTCAGGTTCGGAATCCATTTCAAATCTATTGTCGGATCCACCGAAATAAATCGCGAAGTCTTTCGCGGGCTGACGCGGGGGGGGGGGGGGTGCGGATTTCTGCGCGAGAACGACTTCACGTCCTCATTGAAAAATATCGGCAAGGTCGAGGGATGATTAATATTCCGGCGCCGTATATATTCTTGGAACACGGTTGCGCCACTAATGCGATGGAGAAGCTCGAGCTTTCTGGAGCGCATTGCGAGCGACAGCGGTATTGCACAATCGGGCAGTGACACGCTCACGTTTGCGCCTCCTTTTTACACGCGAGTTTCGCTAAATATAGGCGGCATATTCGGCGCGAGTAGCGAACCAAAGACAACAAGACCATGCAGCCCCCGAGAGCCTCGTGGCGCGCTTTTAAATTCCGGGGGTCTCTATCGATTCACCCGGCAGCTATATTTAACCGGTTTTTATTTTATTCCTTTTTATTCAATTGGCGAACGAGAGGTGCCTTCGCAGCCATGATTCTCGACCTATGAATATTGATTTACCGATTTGTGTTATTATTTCAACGTGTATAAGTTGAAGCACTTTGAAATAAAAGCTCTACCTGACTAGTGTTGACCTCGCCGTCTGTTCTGGACTCGGTGTAGGGAGTGGACGCGAGGAATCGCTCCTCCAGCCTGTCCTGAAACTGCTGCGCCGTAGGTTCCTGCTCCTCGGAGGTCTCGCCGCAGGTCTCGCCGAGCTCACGGCCCTCCATCGCGCTGTCCTCGATTTTGCCGTCCAACGGGAGGATCACATCGCCGTCCAGGATCAGCTCCGGCGGTAGCCGGCCCCGATCGTCGAGACTGTCGTCGCTGTCGGCGACGGGCATCACGTCCGTGTCGGTAATCCGCACGACCGGTGCCATCACTGGACGCGGCAGCGACGGCGGCGGCGGCGCGATCGGTTCATAGTCGTGCTCGCTGCGGTGAGAATTCACGCTTATAGACCGGAAGGCCGATTGCATATAAATAAAACTGTGTGCTTGCATTGAATCATTGAATCAACACGTTGTTTGTCCGGCGAGTTTCGTATACGTGCACCACAAGAAGGAATTTTTCGAGGGGTAAACCGCTGAGGGCATTGTGGTGTACAGATTTGCGGCATTACTGGGCATTACTGGGCTTTACTAGGCATTTTTCGGGCATTAGTTTGGGCATTAGGCCTTGCTGGGGCATTATAAAGATAAAATAAGATAAAGTAATGCCCACTGGGCATTCCCGTACAGCACAAAACTTGCAGTTACATTACAATAACATTGCTACAATATTGCGACATTGCTGTAATGTAGCTGCAATGTAACTGCAAGGTTTGTGCTGTATGGGTTGGTGTGCAAGATTTTGGTCAGCGGTTATCCCCTCGGAATTTTCATTGTCATCATAAACGTATTGTATGATTAAAAAGAAAAATTCTTAATTGTCGAGTAGCACTCTTTCCATTTTATATTGTTGTCTGTCTATTCATGTCATTCAGAATTTTATTACAATAGAGAGAAATAATTTCGTCGACCATAACTGGCTAGTTTATTAATGAAATTTGCACACCGCGTTTCGACCAATATTTCTGGTCCTTATCAAGTGAATACTGTAAATTTATTTTACTAAATAGCATTAAGTTTTTACAAGTGCTTTAAATAATGTTGATAACATCGGTTACACAGATCTACAAAAAAAGAGTACCCTATGCCGGAGATCTGACTAGGCTATTCTTATGTACTTTGAGTCGCTGATTACGAATCTGAAGTCAGAATTGCTCCACCATGTCACAGCTTTTTGTAATCTCAAAAATAGAAAAAATGCTGCCCTCGTTCGAGGGTAGTAAGACTGCGCTTCTTGAGGGGAAAGTTGCCGAAATTATACCCAATGAGCAAAATATTAACAGATTGACAGTAGATTTATCAGAAACCCACACCAAAATACCATAGCCATCTGTGTCCGCATTTGACTTTTGTTTTGACAACAGAGTCTGTACCCACACAGCACAGAAAGATTGCAGAAATGTTACATTGCAAGATTGCAATATTGCAGCAACATTGCGCAGCATTGCTGCAACGTTTCTGGAGGATTGCAGCAACGTTGAAATGTCCGCCCTCAGAGAGATTGCAGTGCAACATTATAGCAATGTTGCGGTGCAATATTTTTGGAATAATTTGTTGTTGTTGTACATAAGCAGAGAATTTACTAATTACATATGCATCCGGGCCTTTTTCAATACACAGCAAGCTATTGCGAAGCAACCTAACGAAATTATGTCGCTTCGCAATAGATGGAGATTGCGAGCAACACCGCACTGATCAGGTACTTAATAATTCGCGCATTATTGGTCATCAACGAAAATAACATTATAAAATTATCGTAATTAGAAAAATTTTTTAAATAGAAAATATAGTATTTTTATTATTTTTGAAACATTGCTGCAATATTGCTATCGAAAGTTTGCAATTTTATATCCCTGCAATGTCTCTGCAAGATTGCAACGTTTCTGCAATGTAACTGCAACCATCTGTGCTGTATGGGCATAGTTATAGCGGAAAGTTTTGGCGAAACGCACTCAATGTAAATCTAGTATTCCCAATATTGGCCCAATATTGTAAGATGTCCATTGCCTTCTTTTATTTCGCCAATATGTCTATTTAGCAATATTGGTCTAATATTGTATCAGTATTAGACTAATATTCTTATTGCATTGTTAAATATTGGCCAATGCACTTCCAATATAAATCTAATATTATATAATTATTATCGTGCAGTATTTACATTTACTCTATGGCCGATATTGGCTTTACGTTGGGCAATGTCGGCCAATGCATTTCTAATATAACCAACATTGAACCAACATTTAGCCAATGCACTGTGCTACTGGGGCTGTTCTAACAGATTTGGGTATCTGGGATATTTCGATGTATCTTCAGGCGTTAAACCTAAATAAAATTCTGAATGACATAAATAGATAGACAACAATATGAAACAACCTAACATTATCGAAATGTCCTGAATCACAACGAAATCTAAAATGTAAGTTATATTCGACCGAAACAAATTCTTCTTTCCGAGGCTCATAGCTTTAATCGATGCACTACAATATTTTTGAGAAATTTTCACCGTCTTCGTGGTAAAAAATAATACGCTGAATATTGCACCGTGAAATTGAGCGCATTATATATTATTCTAAATGTGTCTAGGCTCTGTGTTTACGTATTCCCGTCACCATTCGAAAATTGCGTGTTACCCCTTTCCGATCTCATGAGATCAATGTAATCGAGTGCAGGACCGGAGTGTCTACATCGAAGGGATCATGTTGTTCGAAGGAAACTCATCAACTGATACATGGCCCTCGTGTTATTTCGCGTTATGTTTAGTTTTTTTTCCCAGAAATCAAACAGAGAAATCGACGAAATTTTTACTGTTCTTTTAAAGAACGTAGTACTTGACTCGTTTCCCGTCGATCTTCTATAACGCTTTATCTCGACAGTTCTCTAAACACATCACTTTTCTAGAAGAATTCGATTGTATCTAAAAATTTCCCAGCTCTTGTGGCATAAACTGGCAAGTTCCAATTTTTAATGCTACAGATATAGAAAAGTCCAAATGACACAAACATTGCAAAAATATCTGAAGGAACATAAAAAATTGCTCGGACTCTCTTTCTCTCTCTCTATCTATCTTTCTTTCAGATGTCTCTTACGTTTTTGCGTTTAAAATTTATGTTGCGTCAACAGGCAACAAGATTATTTTGCCTCTTAACGCCGAGAATCGGGGCTCGTTGAATTCCCCTGCTCTTAAACATCCGCTGCAAACGCGCTCAGTTCAGTGTAACACGGTCCCGTCAGATGTCCAGCCCCGTCCCGGGGACGTTGCGGCGTGCGCGCGTGTACCGGTGCGCGGATACGCGGGACACGCGGGTCGCGGACGGGGAACTGGACTTGGCGGATTTGGGAGCTGACCGAGCTTTCTATCTATAGCCAGCCGGGCGGACCTTAAATAGCTGCGGTACGCGACGCGGTTTCGCACGGTGTAACCTATCCGATAGCGCGACCGATATGATAGCGATGGAATAGACAAGGCGAGCTCCCGGCGGGAGCGAGACCGCGCTCTACGTGGTCGGCGATCCGAGGGGGTGGGTGTTTCCCGTCGGTCTCGAGCCGTAAACGGAAACGTCGGGGTGTATGGGCGTACTGACCTGCAGCGGACCGCAGGTGGCTGCTGCATCGTCCTGGATGACGGTCTGACGAGGAGAGCACGTCGCTCCGGCAGAAGCGAGTCGCTCTGGTAGTACTGACACCCGCAACGGACCTCGCGCCCGAGGCTCGACGTCGACGACGCCCGCGAAGTGCGTCCTCGTTGCTCCGGCTCCATCCCCACCCCCGGAGAAACGCCGCGGCCGCACACGGAGGTCCGGCACTGATCCACCTCTCCAGTCTCCTCTTCCTCTATCTGCCTACCTCAGCAAGGCGATCAGGGAGCGACAACGACGACGACGACGACGTTTCGCCGTTCTTCCTGGTACGTCGTCCACGAAACACCCTTCGTCTCCCGATCGAAGGGAAGAGGGAGAGACAGAGAGAGGAAGATAGGGGAGAGAGACAAAGTAGAGAAGAGGAGGCTGAGCGGCCCGCTAGAGCAGCCCGCTGCAGCGGCTCCTAGGCGACTCCCTTCCGTACCCTCGGCCGCCCATCGCGAGCGCGATCGGGGCGGAGAGACATCGGATTATTTATAGCGGCCTCCGGTATTCCGCGGGCTTCGACACTGTCTCGGGCCGTGCGAGCCGCCGCGGATCACCTGGTGCGTCCCGCGGTCCATGCGGACCGTCGCGGCAAATTTCAACCGCGGGCGCAAATTGCCGGGTGAGGTGAGGGTTCAGACGGGTGCTCCTCCTGTTTCTTCATTTGGGTTTTAGCCTGGTGAACGCGGAGGAAGTCGCGCCGACGTGAATCCCGCGATTGGCTCGGTACCAAAAGCGTGTTCCGACGGTATTTCTGTTAACGAGGCACGGTTGGGTGTCTTCGGTTCTCGGGGAAGAGAACGAGTCGACGTGACCTGTGTGAAACTTACCCCGGAAGTACTCCGGCTCGCCATGCGTCGCGGCGATAAACGACGCTGACGAGTGCCGGAATTAGGATACAGCTGCGGTATTTTATGTTACGTTAACGCCACTTACCGGCGTCTTAATTATCGAGGAAGGTCAGCGGCGGCGGCGACGCTTTCACGCGTCGTCTCTCGTTTTGTTAAATTATGCGCAGAGCTATGGTTCTCTGAATATTTCTCTACTGATGCGTGCGATGTGCATGTCCGTGATTGAAAACGTGGCCGAGGAGACGTCGAGACGCTGCGTTGTAGAAATTAATTAAGGAAACGTCGAAAGGAGACCTTTTGACGACTCTTTCTCGAGTAGTAAAACAGGGCGCGACGAAGCAGGGACCCAGTGAGAAATGATTCGTCGAAACGATATCGAATCGACGTCGACATTGACAAATTGACGTCGATTCGACATCAATTTGACGGCGTCGACGTCGATCGACGAGACACTTCTCGCCGGGAAAGTGTCTCGACTCGAGACCGCGGGAAAAACCCAAGATTAACGCGATTTGATTTGAAAGTGAAACTTTTTCCTCTCGAACAATCCCGCGCTGCAGCGACGCGCGTCGTCCCGCAGCGCGCGAGCTTATAAAGAAAGACATAAAGGCGGACGAACGTCATGCGCGGCAATGGATTCGGCGATTGTGTCACATCTTGGCACTCGACGCCAGCAGCCATCGCGACACAATGCTCGACGACGACTTGGGCCTGCCGACTTTGTTAACGCACCTCGGTCAATGTAAAAATAATTCGTCGAGAAATACGCAGCTGCGTTGCATTCTTCTCGCAAATTGCACGTTAATTGTTAACGTATTCGTAGCTCAAGTATATACGCGCGGACGACGTTCCGCGATGTATGTGTACGCGTGCATTCGGTGTGTCCCAAGATTACCGGCACGTCTTTCACGCACCGAGAGATCGGCCGACCTTTCCTCACAATTCCGGCCGCACTCCAACGGTGCGGTCGTCTTCGGTTTCGATCGCAAGAAATAAACACGAGAATGTATAAAAATCGATATATAATCTGTGAATGCTGTCGGCGACGCCACATTTTTACGGAAAAATGGCCTCAAACCAATCGAGAAATGGCAGTAGAAGCGATGATAATTCTGTGACACCCTGCATCCTGTACAGGGTGTGCGGTAACGAATGGTAAAACCGAGGGCTTGATTTCACGTACAAAACTAAGTCGGGATTAAACTCGTGCAAAATTCAATCTTTCGCCCGAGCTGAGGGAGCGTTCCGCTCTCGCGCAATTTTTGAAAGCCTTTTTCTCAACGAAGGAGCGTTAAAAAAATAGTTTAACTTACACTTCTGACTTACTTTTGCGCGCACGGAGTTACTACCCTCTCGATTGTACCATTCGTTACGGGACAACCTGTATAAAACGTTATATATATAATACTCTTTCCTCGAAATCTGAGGCGTGTTATACAGGGTGTTTCAGACGTACCACGTCACTTCGCGACGTTTGACCAAGAGGCTCTCGATGTAGAATGGCTCTTAAACAATGAGAGATTCGTGTTTCACGAGCGTAAATAAATTAAGTGGCGTTTCTCCGCTAAGGCTGGTGGCAGAGAACGATCCGTAAACGCTTAGGTCTGTCTTAGAGCCGTGGCACACAACGGCCTTAAGCAATAAGACGTAAGCGGTAAACGAATTGACCAATCATAGTCGAGAACTATGGCAGTGGCTTACGTCTTATCGCTTAAGATAAGTTTGTGTGCCACGGCCCTTAGTCGTAGACGTAAGGCAAGGCCGAGAAAAACTTAAGTCGACTTAAGTTTTTCTCTGCCTTGCCTTACGTCTACGACTAAGACAGACTTAAGCATTTACAGATCGTTCTCTGCCATCAGCCTAACTTTAAGGGGATGCTGGAGTGACTCTTCACCTTTTACACCTTTTGCTCCTAGAACTGCCTAGTCAGCAAAATGTTAACAGATTGACAGCAGATTCGTCAGAAACCCACACCAAAACCGTAGCCATCTGTGCCCGCATTTGACTTTTTGTTTTGGCAACAGAGTCTGTAAAATATACGCTGTTAACAGATTACCGGCAGAAACCAAGTAGGTTCAGTTATGCGAGTAGATTTTGTTGCATTTCTGTTGACACGCTGGCAACATGTCGAATATATCAGTTCCTGTATGCAATCTGCAGTCTTTCTGCCTTCAAAAGTTATAGTGAGGATTTGATGAAATTGGCTATCTGAGTGTCAATTCATAAACACATTTGTGTAATGTATGTACAATTATGACGCTTTCCCTTACGGAAAAAACACTCGATTGTCCGAGTTTACTCTCAAATTTGAGTGTAAATACTTAAATTTGGGTGTTTACGCCCAAATTTGAGAGTAAATTCGGAGAATCGAGTGTTAACACTCAATGAGTGTTTTTTTCCGTAAGGATTTGTGTACAGACCGACAGTGCTCCACTAATCGGACTAAATCAGAGGAATAGCGTGGTATCATTGAAATTAAGTTTAGAAGCCTAACAAAAAATCTATTTACTTGAATAAAACGTATAACTTATTCGAGTGAATAGATTTTTTGTTAGGCTTCTAAAGTCAATTTCAATGATACCACACTATTCTCCGATTCCGTCCGATTAGTGGAACACTGTCGGTCTGTACACAAAAGCCACATAATTTGTACATTACACAAATGTTTTCATGATTCATGACAGTTCTAGGTGCAAAGGGTGCAGAATCCACTCCAGCATCCACTTAAGCAAGTCTCACTTCCCGACTAATCCTTTTAATTCAGTCCCACACGGCACAGAAAGATTGCAGGAAGATTGCAGAAATGTTACATTGCAAGATTGCAATATTGCAGCAACGTTTCTGGAGGATTGCAGCAACGTTGAAATGTCCGCCCTCAGAGAGATTGCAGTGCAACATTATAGCAATGTTGCGGTGCAATATTTTTGGAATAATTTGTTGTTGTTGTACATAAGCAGAGAATTTACTAATTACATATGCATCCGGGCCTTTTTCAATACACAGCAAGCTATTGCGAAGCAACCTAACGAAATTATGTCGCTTCGCAATAGATGGAGATTGCGAGCAACACCGCACTGATCAGGTACTTAATAATTCGCGCATTATTGGTCATCAACGAAAATAACATTATAAAATTATCGTAATTAGAAAAATTTTTTAAATAGAAAATATAGTATTTTTATTATTTTTGAAACATTGCTGCAATATTGCTATCGAAAGTTTGCAATTTTATATCCCTGCAATGTCTCTGCAAGATTGCAACGTTTCTGCAATGTAACTGCAACCATCTGTGCTGTACGGGCGTTCGTTCGAGATCTTCAATCTGTTCGCAAAGAAAAAAAGTACCTATCGAAAACACGCCAAGATGGTCCGGTAGGTCTGAAACGCTCTATACTTTTGCAATACTTAATAAAATATATAGAATATACAGCGTGTATTTTGCATATGTACGTGTCGTGTATGTGTGTGTGTAAATATATAATACACTGTGTGTGTACGTGTGTTACGCTAGGAGTCCTATAACGACGTTCGTACGGCCGCTAAAGATCCGATACAGCGTGGTGTCGTTGAGAGGAAAGGGTGATCGCATGTATAAGTGAGCGCCTAGCAATTTCTTCGATAATCTTCCGACTCGCATGGCCGCTCGCTCGTCCCGTGCGAGTCGTCATCCGTGCGGTTAACGTCAAACTCCTCGTCAAGCTCGTAGACCGCGCTCCACTTTTTGCTTATAAATAAACGAGCGGAGGAGAAGAGACGTTTCCGTGCGCGCGCGTGGGTGACGCTCAGGCCGATCGCGAGCGACCACGGCGACGGCGATGGCGCGTCTCTGCCTTGAAATCGCACGAAACGGCGCGGAGGGGCAGTGGGGCTTTCACGGTGTGTTCGAGTACGAGACAAAGAGAATGCAAATATCGGGGATGTGTTATTCGTACGAAAATTATATTGCCACTCCACATGTGTGCATATACACACATATATACGTATGAATGTATATGTATATATACACACCTATATGTTACAGTTCAAGCATTCGAGCGCATTTCAAGTATGTAACTCTTGAAGAACCAGAAGCGGTAGTTTAATCTTTACATTATCAGTCCGAAGCATCGGATGTGTAGCAGCAACACTCGCTCGATCGTGTATTTCCCTGGGATTCTCCATGTCGCAGAGTTGTCGTTATAATCGGACGGTGTAGGCGAGTCCCGTCGTCCGGCGATTACGCGAAATCGGTAGGGCGATTATATCCTGCCTCGGTGTCGCGTCCAAGTTTCTTGGGGACGACTCCCTGAGTCTCACTGATGGACACGTGTGGCCGCGCGATCTCGCGAATTACGCGATTACTGCGAAGACGCGGTTTAATGAGGTCTCAGTGTAACGATTTTATTGTTGCAATTGTAATTACAGTAGTCGTAATCGTAATCGTGGTTGTGAGATGGTAACAGGGACGTCGTGTCGGAGACCGGGCATGGTAAATGCCGGGGTCAGGCGAGCTCGTTGCTGTCCGGAAAGTGGTCGCGGGCGTCCAGGCAGGCGGCCAGATCGAGCACCAGGTGATGGAGGCTGGGATGGTCGAGGACCTCCGCGTCCGGCAGAGGCGGATGGCAACGTGGCCTCTGCTGGCGGCCCCTGAACGAGCGGTGCAGGTTCAGCACCACGTCGCAGAACACATAGCGCACCAGCAGCAGCCGCAGGAAGTCGTCACCGAAGAACTGCAGCACGCTGGTCTCTACGAGTTGCGAATCAGGTTACACGTCGAATACATCTGGGGAACGATTCGATTTCATGGAGGAAGATGCGAATGTTTCGCATGTTAAGGGGATCCTAAAGCCACCTGTTTTATCGACATTCTTTCAATTGGCTCTATGGAAATGCAAAACTCTTTTACGGAATTAAAGTACGCAGCAAAATCTAGACTATGCTGGTCGACTTTATATAAAAAATGAAAAAAAATTTTTTTACTAATTTTTGGTACACTTGACGGCAATATTTGCTTGATACAAGTATTCTACAATAAATATTTACAAAATGAGACCAATATACTCTAGGAACAATATATAAGAACAATATCGTGCAATTAGAACTAAGATTAATTGCCTAGAAAAAAGAAAAAGAAGAAGAAAAACAGAGCAGTACGGCGTGTAGAAATAGTTGCAGGCTTCTTCGAGAGAGGTCGCTGCCAAACTTCTATCAAATCAGTAAAGCCATGGTGTTGAAGAAGATAGAATTCGATCCAAAATCTCGGTCTGAGCAATGTGCAGCTAATGAAATTGTTGCTTTTTCATAAAGGTTGCAAATTGACTGGCTATTAATTTCTCGGACCGAGTAGAACCTGGAATTAAAAATGTCGATAATTGACGCTTTTAATTCCGCTCCCTGTTTTATTGACACTGATCGAGTTCGCTAACGGCTTTAGGATTCCCTTAAAGTGAACGCGTATCTATTTCTCTTTGGAGTTGGTCCTTCGTCGATGTGGCTTCGACGAAAGACTCTTTAACTTCTTCAGATAGGGTTGAACTTTCAAACAGGCTTTTCTAGAAATGTTGCGGAGGCGAATAAAGGAAAGGCATAGTTGTCTCTTCCCTATGTACAAAGTTACGCGATGTTCGAGCTTGGTCCGCCGAGTTTTTAATTTTCGATTGTTCAACCGAGTTTGCTCGCGGAAAGATATTCTAATTGTATATTGCACAGAAAACACGCGAAATGTTAAAATAACAAGCTCGTAACATAACATCGGCTCATCTCGATAAGGACAATGGGTGTCCCTTAACTCGGCGGTTAGAGAGACACGCAAAAATCGAGAGCGGGAGTTCGCCGATAAATTCGTTTGGATCTAGGCCAAATGCGTTTATTGTTGTAACGCGATCGTAAGTCGCATTCAATGAGCCAGGCGGCTGCTGCCGCGCAAGGAACACGCCCTCGTTTTCGTGATAAAATCTTAATTTTGTTCGCCTTTCTCTCAGTGCCGCGCTGTAACTATCAAATACCACGCGATACACTGGTCAAGTGGAATAAATCTTTTTCGATACGTGTTTTTCGGGGGGCGATTTTATCCTATTCAGAAACGTTCCGTCTTAAACCGTTACGGTGGACATTCAAGACTGGACGTTCTAAGAACCGTTTCTTACAATAGCAGTGATAACATTTGAATTCGATAATTAGCGCCGTTGCGACGCTGCAAAATGTTGGTCGCATCTGTCTCGAGACTGACGATAAGTACAAATGCACGATTTCAATAACGATCTCTTCATTAATGACGTTAATTTCTAGCCAGTCGGCGAGAAACTGATTGAGAGACGGCTCGAGCTCTCTTAGAATTCATCATCCTCCACTATCGAACCCGCGCACCTTGGCTGTTTTCATCTGATCGACAATTGTTGTCGCCTCGGACAATTGATTGTCGAGTATCCTTACCGCATCGGGAGCGCATTACGAGCTGACTGGCCTCGTTAAGGAATCGCTCGATGTAACGCTGGCAGCGCTCCCAATGTTGCACGGGCAGGCTCCCGACGTTGCATATAAGGCAGAAGGCGGCAAGGGGGGCGTGAAGAAATAGGGTAAACAGGCTGCCACCGTGTCGCAGGTCGCGCAGAGTCGGCGGCACGTCCTGCGGTGACATCAGCACCATCAGGGGCTGGCCGAAGTAGCGCGGTATCTGCTGGAACACGAAGCTGTTGTCCGAGTCGACGACGACGAAGAGCGGCTTCCTGGTGAAGGGATACAGGTCGCCCGGGTAGAGGCAGTGCGGCTCCTTGCCGCCGGCCGGCCTCTTCCCGTGCTCCGGGTCCCTTTTGCTGCACGTGGACACGCCACCCAGGTCGTACCCCACTGCAAGAGCGCAACATTTTATCAACATCGTGCAATTCTGCGTTCGCCGAACCGTCAGACGGATGTCGGGCAACATTGGGGAAATCTCGAAAATCTCGCCCGCATTTGTTTCACGCGAAATATCCTTCGCGAATCGAGACAAGATGTATTCTCCGAAATGAGACACGTCTTGAGTGATTTCTTCTCGCCGTCGGTACAAGCTTATTCCATCTTTCTTTGGAATTTTTTAAATCGTCGGCCATCGCGGTAATTAATGTGTAAATCAGATTTCAGTCGAATCAGGAAGATGAATTTAACCAAACGATAAAACTTTGTGCGACAAGGGACATAACTGCCCGCACATTTAATATATTGTTTCATTTTCATTGGAAATTCAAAATTTTATTGTTTGTCGTGTAGAAATATATTAAATTTTAAACAATCTCATAAAAGTTTCAAATGTTCTTGGCACAAATAGTGCTTTATCAATAAAACGTGACTTTCGCCAATGTTGCCGTCACTCACAGTAGCTAATATTTTAATTCTAAGCACAAGCAAACGCTCTAAACTTTTTATATACGCTTGTCGAAGCAGTTCCATCAATAAACAAAAGCCGTGGAATCCGTTCCGCATTATTTATGTTGCCAATTATTGTAATCGATGGACTCCTGGTTTCTAATACATTGATATTGATTGCAAAGCTGGATTCCACGGTACGAATCTTTATTACGAAGCAGCCTTGATATCGGGACGATACTCTATTTTCCTTTAAAGACCTTCGCTGCAGTGGCTACCGAAATGTAATCTTGATCTAAGGCGTAAGAACGTTCAATTCTTTTCAAATCGCAGCCAAAGTTACATGCAGATAAACAGTCTCTGAGTAACTCTAATTTTAGTAATTATTATCAGCACAACGACGTGCAAATATAATGTAATTGGTAAATTAATTACATACAATAACAAGAGGGCAACACATAAATTTCTCAAAACAAAAGTTTCCCCCGAAACTAATAAGCATTTACTAATCACTGTTAAATATGTTAAATATAATAATAATACTTTTCAGTTAATTAGACATTTGCTCGTTATTCCTTAAATGTGTTCATACACCAATTTCCGGGGATACTTTGAAATAAAATACATGAAACGCGCGCATACATTGTTTAAAAAAAATCAATCTCGGTTTTTATGAACAAGAGAACATACGTATTCGTTTACATCACCAAACTCGAAGCCGTTACGAGCGTTCCGTTATGATCTCTGACAGAAAAATATTCAGCAAATTATGTGACGAGATCTGGATGAATCTTGGAATGCTGGAATTATGCGTACAACATATGCAGAAATAGAGGCCTTTTGTCAAATATTGAGAAATATTTGCATAATGTATTTATAAATAGTATGTCAGCAAAACAGCTGCATTTTGGCAGAATCACCCCTTGGCAGAATATTTGCACGATTAAATTACCGTCGTGTTACGATGGGTTGCCGCTACGAGGCAACCCATACTCATAAGTAAAATTCACGCGAGACGAGATGAAAGCAGACCCAGCGGTAAACACGTCCCACTCTTTTTTAAACATTTATTACACGGAACTGTGGTGTTGGGCAATTTTGCTTCTAAATGTCGAAATAACTGTGTACGATTTATCGCATAAATTGAGATTATCGATCATCAATTTTTAGGCAAATACCATTTAGAAATTTTATTCTTACAAAACCGCTGCGTTATGGCGAATCGCCTTGATGCAATCAGTGTGAAATTTCTTCCTTTTGGACGATGCAATAATCACACAATATTTTAGACATTTTCCACCTAAATGATGAGCATGAAACAGGTAAGGAAAAATACGCTCAAGGTAAACTTGACACGACAAATTCTTTTGTCTTTTTTACGATAACAATGATACCAATTGTAAGTCGGCAAGTTATAGACATTTATATTTCAAGTTAAACGAAGAAATTCCGTTTAAAACAGTTCCTCTATAAACTTGTGAGAATTAGGCCAGGATTTGTCGAAGAATCCTCCTCTCTCGATGATTTTTCAGTCAATCTGGGACACTCTGTACACGGTTCGTTCGATACAAAGAGGCATTTCGGGAGATTCTCGCGTACATGTATACACGTATACAAAACACCTGGTTGCGACCGCGTCGCGCAGATTATCGTGTCGTGGCTGTTCCAATTGAGGGAGCACACGGGAACTCAGTCGGCCACTTCTACGATGATATCGGTGGCCAAAGTACCGGACTACCGACCGGGGAAACTGACCGAAAAGACCGACACGCGTACGCCTTCGGCTTCGTCGAGCGGGTGATTCGCTTTAACTCCGCATGACTGTACAACGGGCCGCTCTGTATCAGCGGTCACTTTTGGGTGACCGCCGTTTATGCTGGCGCGCGATCGGCTTAAGTGGACCGGGAACGGACTTGGTGGACCCCGGGATTGCAGGGCGTGAAATACGAGACTCGATACCTGGGGATTGATAACGCTCAAGCGCGATGTAACGATTTGCAAGCCGAATGATTTTGCGCGATACCGAAGTAACAAGAGTGACCTCTTAGTTGTGGCTCGTACTTTGCGAATCCCCAAGTTCTCCAGCGGTAAATATCGAGGGGTAAACCCGAGGCGGAAACCGCTGTAGGCATTGTGGTATTACTGAGCATTACTAGGTATTACTAGGCATTTTTGGGCATTAGTTTGGGCATTAGGCCCAGTGTGGTTAGATTTGCCACCTTTTCGGGCATGCGCAGTGCAGATCTAGTGAAATTCAGTAACGTCCACATGCTCAGAAAGTGGGAGCTTATTGTTTTGGCGGGACGGCCGGCGGAAACCTCGCAGCGAAGAGAATTATAACCAATATGAAGGTAAGATAAGTTGGTATAAGTATTTTAGTTAATATTATTACAATTTAGGTGTGCATTATGGATCCAAAAATTATAATTTTTATAGACATATAAAAATAGGGCCTTCACAGGACCTTTATATATCAGAGGTTACTACTTCACTGATGCCATATTGCACTGCGCATGCCCGAAAAGGGGGCAGATCTAACAACACTGATTAGGCCTTGCTGGGGCATTATAAAGATAAAATAAGATAAAGTAATGCCCACTGGGCATTACCCATACAGCACAAACCTTGTAGTTACACTGCAATAACATTGCTACAATATTGCAACATTGCTGTAATGTAAATCGCAATGTAACTACAACCCAAGTAGAACAAGTTAATCACAAAAACGTCAATGTGACATTAAAATGACGAATTTTACGTCATAAAATGGTCGACATCAAGATTTACTTTGCAATGACTGACTAATGATCATGATATTCGTGACGTGTATAATAATATATTATTACAGATTACATGATCAGTCATATATTATGTTTGTCTTATATTACTTCGATTTATTTTTGATGTATAATACTTAATTAACTTTGCTTGGTAAAACGAGATTAACTTTACAACATTTCGATGTCTTAATGATGTCACAAATAGGTGCTCTCGGTGGGCTATTTTGACGTCACTATGATGCATAAAAAATGATCAAAAAATGATGTCATCTTGATGTTTTCATGACCAATATGTTCTACTTGGGAAGGTTTGTGCTGTATATGGGTAGTGGGCATTGGTGTACAAGATTTTCCCATACAGCACAGATGGTTGCAGTTACATTGTAGAAACGTAGCAATCTTGCAGATTGCAGTGCAATCTTGCAGAGACATTGCAGGGATATAAAATTGCAAACTTTCGATAGCAATATTGCAGCAATGTTTCAAAAATAATAAAAATACTATATTTTCTATTTAAAAAATTTTTCCAATTACGAGAATTTTATAATGTTGATGATACAAATAATGCGCGAATTATTAAGCACTTGATCAGTGCGGTGTTGCTCGCAATCTCCATCTATCGCGAAGCGACATAACCTCCTTAGGTTGCTTCGCAAAAGCTTGCTATGCCTTGAAAAAGGCCCGGATGTATATGTAATTAGTAAATTCTCTGCTTATGTACAACAAATTATTCCAAAAATATTGCACC